GTAGTTCCGTTACCGTTGCCAATGATTTGGGCAATGGCAGCGTGGGCGTAGTATTGAGGGCGGACAAAGCTGGTGTCGCGGCCATACATGGGAATAGGTTGCCAAGCACTGGCATTTGAGTTGTCGGTCATGTGCATTTGTACAGAGGAGATGCCGATAGTGGCGGCGTAAAGGAAAAAGTTCATGGTCCAGAGGGCGGCTCCAAAAACATCGCTGACAGAGGGCATACCAATAGGGCCAACGGAGCTCATTTCACGCAGGACATAGGGGAGGCCGGTTTTCAAGGCGATGCCGACTTGCTTCTCCCAGTACTTGAACTGAACATTAGTAGTGTCGAGATCCATTAGTTCATCAAGGGTAAGAGGAGTGGGTGTAACTCCAATGACTGCAAATTGTTAATATGGCTGGTAGCTAGATTTAAGGGGGGGGGGGACATTGTTAACATACAATAGTAGTAGTCGTGCTGATTCCAGGTAGCGAGGTAGTTGTCGCCATTTCTGCCTTCCATGATGCCATCGTCAACCAGCTGGGCAATCTCAAAGGTGGTGCCGATGGTAGAGGCAGTTGCAGGAGCTTCAAAAAAGGACGAAGGAAGGCTAGCATTTTTGAGCACCTGCTCGTAGATGAGTTCACAGCGGTCGAGCCATTGGGTCGTGTATGTGCTTCCGCTCCATGCGCCAGCGCGGAACATGTTCTGCAGCCACAGGTCGGGCTCGTTGCCAACTTCGAATGAATACAGCTTCACGTTTTTCATACCGTCAATAGCGGCCTTTGCCATGGTAGTGATGCGAGTCTCCCAGTCGCTCTCCATGTAAGCCATGTTGAGGCCAAAGGTGACGGGGGTATCCTTGGGGAAGCGGTCCAGGGCTGTGAAGTAGTTGGGACCAATAATCATGGAGTCGGCAGCCTTGGTGCCCTGTGCTTGTGAGTTCTTGTTGGCGTTCCATGCGAAGCGTTGGTTGTCTGCCTCGAAAAGCATGTAATCCTGCGTGTTTCCTCCGAGGCGGATGTGAGGAGGAGCGCCCGAGTAGTCTGCGAGGTTCTGTAGGAGTTTGACGGAAAACTGGTTGATCTGGTCGCCGCCAGTAAAGGAGAAGAGGTTGGAGGGCTCGATGCCAAATCCGGCGAATGAAGGGTTGATGTAGTCGGAGGCATCTTTGGGGGCCTTTGTGTTTGGCGATATGGATAGGGACTGGGCTGTAGCGGCGGGGAGCGAGAGGATGGCCACTGCGAGGGTGGTGGCTGTGGATCTTGGGGAAAGCATGGTCACAGCGTGAGACCAAGGGCCTCAATGGCAGCCAACAAGCGGGCGGTGGTCGTGGATGAAGGGACAAGGGCGCAAAAACGAAAGACGGCAGCAGGGGGAGATTAGGGGAGACTGGGGCCAAAGGGTAAGGGCAAAAGCGTCGAGGCTAGAGTGCGGGCGGGAAGGACGAGGAGAAGGAGGCAGGAGGCATGTAAGTAAGACAGAAGCGGACGGGCAGGCGGGAGGCCGGGGGCGGAGGAGCAAGCTTATCAGAGCAGTCGGGAGTGTGTTTGCATCTAAGTAGGTAAGCGGATGGAGGAGGGCTGTGAAGGCAAGGCAATTGATTGCACTTGACATGCGTCACCCCCAAACTGGAACCAGCCGCGACGCCGGGCCCTTGGGCAAGCCAGAGTGTACCGCCATTGACGACCATGACATCACGACGCGCCCTCTTTGACGCCGGCCGAAACAGCAGCGGAGGAGGGAGGCCCAGTGCGAGACGCCGGCCATGTGGGCCCCGGAGAGTTGTGTTGCGCGTTGTGCTGGGGAAGAGAAGAAAAATCCGCGTCAGCTCTGGGCGACATGGTGGACCACAATGCCACCACGCCCGCCTTGGCCATGCCTCGCATCGGCAGAGCCGCCAATCTGACGCGCCATCTGCCCTGATCCGCCCGCTGCTTGCACTTGCTCGTCCATGGCCTGCAGCCCGTCCTGCCTGGTGTCGTGGGTTCCGTGGCTGCTCCGGCCTGGGCTGTGTGAGCATGTGTGCAGTAGAGATTTTTTTCTCTCTCTTGTCCTGTCTTGTTTGCTGCGTGCCCCGTCGTCATGGTGCGCCCTCTGCCTTGGTTGTGTTTCCCAAGCCGGTGGAAAAGGCTTGATTTTATTGCCTAGCCCGGTTCCTGCTCATGCACCACTCGCTCCTTCCGCCTGCAGTCACCCCCCCCCCACCTTCCATGCTGAGCTTTGCACTTTCCGCTTTAGCCACCAGCCACCGTCTGCATACAGCCACCAGCCACCAGCCACCTGCTTCTGCTAAGTCCTGTCTCTTTCGTCATGACCACTTGATATCATCACCAACGTCTTCTTGTTCTTCGTCTACCCACCTACGTACTCTAGCTCCCGTATATCCAAGACCCCGGCCGAACAAGCCCTTCAATGTCTTGCTCCTGTTGCTCGTCCGAGTACGCGCTGCTTCACCATGTCCGCTAGTGCTGTCCATCAGTCCAGCCATTCAGCTGTCCAGTCGCGCATGTGGCTCCCTCTGTTCCCTTTGCTGCTCCTAGCCCCCCTGCACCCTATTATAGTAACATCCCGAGTCGTGCCACAACCGCCAGAGTCGGATGCTGCGGATGCCTCTGGCACAGACGTTTCAACTTGACCCATCCGCAGACCCCGCTATCGTTCTCACTCGCTTATCCCAAATCTAGGCCTAGATCGAGAGCCCTGATGCCTTCTCCATGATGCCCTTCCTCTTTGCTCGCTCAAATAAACGTTGTGCGGCGAAAGTTAAAATCGCGCGAGCCGGCAGCATGGGAAAAGCTTGTTTCCGACGCATCTGGTAACCGGCTCGCTGCTCAAAGTTTAAATAGCTCCGCGCCAATATATTGAAAATTGCTCCCTTTTCTCCTTGCAATTACGACATATAGATTGAAATAAACGAGTATACAGAATCTGAGGTTTACTCAGGCTGATTGACCCGTATTTTTTTTTAATACGCACGTACACTGCCCGTCTTTTCTCCCACCTAAATATTCGCTCACTCCCCACAACCAAGTCCTCGCTTTTTCTCACCCCCCTGTCTTGGCAGCCAAGACATAAGCCTTGCTACAACTTCCCCTTGAGCAAATTAGCGATCATCTCGCGTCCCGTAATCACAGTCGTGCGCCACAAGGTTGGGAAATCCAAGGTACTTGTGAAAGCTATCAACAGAAACCAAAAAGTCAGCCACAAATTTCTCCGAAAAAGTTTATTCCTCCTTGACCCAGTCTTTGCAGATAGGGGGAAAGGAGAAAGGAATGAAAGAGTTAGCGAGGGCAAAAAACTTACTATCAGCATATCCAAATCCCAACATGGGCGGAATCCATCCCCTCGCATACTCGAGCGCAAAGCACTCTCCGTCCATCTTGTACTGCTTCACCTCGCCGCGACGAAGATGATGCACGCTACCCTGAGGATACCTGTACCCCAGCATTCGTCAGCAAAACCATTCATACTAACAACCCCTCCAAAATGCACCTTCCTTTCAAGGAAGATGGCAACAACATCAACAACAGGGAAAAAAACTCACCTCTCCGCCTCATAAACCCCCTTACCCGGCGCATACGCCACCTGCTCCCCCTTCAAAATATGAAAATAATCATCCGCCGTATGCCGTCCCGTATGCCCCTCGGTCCCCACAGGCGTCCCAAACACAATCAGATACTCCGTCACACTCGCATGTATAATATACATTGCGCCCATCGCACCCCCCGCATTATTAAACACCCACTCCTCATCGAGATTGATATGCTGCGGGTGCAACGCCGACAGCGAGTCGACAATGTAGGATACGACGGCCGCGGTGTCGTTTCCGTGGCGCTCAATAGCCGAGAGACTGAGGGAGTGCAGGGCAGCCGGGGTGAAGATGTAGAAGGACTCGAGGCGCGATTCGAGATTGTAGAAGAGTGTTGTTAGGGCGCCGAGCAACAGCGAGAGCGTGAGTAGGACGTGCATTGTTTGATGCGTGGCGGCGCGCGGTGCGTTCACTCAGAACGCCAAGGCGATTTAAGAGAAAGAACCAAGGGTAAGAAAGGGGGGGGGAAGGGGGATCAAGAGAGGGAGAGAGAGGGTAAGCCTATCGCATTCCGCTCTTTCTAGTCGTAGTTTAAAAAAAAAGACTTGTAGATACAGTTGTATATATCGAGGAGAGAGAGAGAGTGCACGTAACCCCCCACGGCCCCGGTCATACAGAAGAGTGAGAAATATGTCCGGATGAGGCCAAAGCCCGGAACCCCGGAATGCTCCACTCGCACAATGGCCTGTTCAAATCAAACCACCATCCCCCCATGCCGTCTTCCCGTCTTCCGAGAGAGAAAGGGAGAGAGGGAGAGAGAGGGCTGAACCCCTTTTCATCGTTGGGCTTCATTCGCTAACCGCCTACTTTTTTTAAAAAAAAACACGCGTCCGTATACACGACTTTCTCATTGGACCATACATTCATTACCTAAGTCGAATCTTAATAGGGGATGGGAATACGGTATATACGGTGCAAAAAGTTGGAGTAAATGCAAAAAGTACGCAAGACACACACAGAGAGAGAGAGAGGAAGAAAAAAAAAAGGGGGTATATATTATATCGCGAACTTGTCAACTACTTGTATAAACTGCTTTACTCGACCAAAGGCAGAAATATGTTAAAAAAGACAAAGCAGGAGATGAAACAAATAAACAAACAAACAAACAAACGTGCAATCTCTTCCCTTGAAGTTAACACACAAAAAAAAAACACAATGCTTGTATCCGCTTTGGTCATGTACTTACCCATAAAATTTCTTCTCCCAACCCGCAATCATTAACATTATACTCCGAAAGATGATTGAACCTTGCCCCCCCCCCAAAGATTCAAAGCAAAAAAAGATTGCCCAAACAATAGATCGTCCAGTCCCTTCCAAATACACCTAATTTTGTTTCATCTTCCTCTTCCTCTTCCATTTCTTCCTCATCAGACACACACACCAGACGTGAGATCAACCCAAAAAGTTCCCGCCAAAACCTCATCACCACCCCCCAATAAACGACAAAAACCCATCCACCATAGTAATCCAATCCTGTCCATTGAGCGTCCCCGCCCTCCTCTTCTCCCAAAGCCCCCCCACCATCTTACTCAAATACACCCGTGCCTTCTCCCCGGCCTCGCTCGTCCCATCATTCCTCACAATCTGCACCATGCCCCCCGCATGCTTCTCACTCAGATCAATCCTAAAACTCGCATCGCCGTCCGGGGGACAATACAGCTCCTCTCTCGATCCTGCTGCAGGCCCGATGATGCCTGGCGCAAGCTGAACCAAATGCCCGTGAATCAGTACGCTCTGTCCATGGCTCTTCTTGGGCTTGAACAGCGAGCCCCGCACGGATAAGGCGATGAGGCGGAGGAGTCCCGCGCCTTCTCCGAGTCGAATGATCCAGTCGCGGAAGGCTTCGTACATCATGCGGAATTCTACCTTGATGACCCAGAGGTTGTAGCTGTAGAATATTGCGAGGGCTTCGGAGCGTACGAGGCGCGAGACGGAGGCGAGCGGGTGTTGCATTTCGCCGTTGAACGTCGAGATGCAGTATACGAGCGGTTTGTCGACGACGAGGTTTTCGCAGCTGCGGTAGATTTGGTGACGGATTTCGGGGGGCAGCGTGATGAAGGTTAGAGGATCGTGCGTAGTGTCGGTGGGCAGCGGTTGCCCGATATCGGTCGAGGTTGTTTGGATGTCTTCGGCGGGTTCGATGTTTTGGACGGGTTCGGCGTTTTCGATAGGCTCAATGTTCTGAATATTCTCAATATGGACAGTTTCCGACTTGTCCTTGTGCATCGCAATGTGTGCCGCCCACTCCGCCTGCAGTACGCTGGCACCATCAAACTGCGTGCGGTTGACGCTGTTGTTTCTCGAGTGCGGGGGTGAAAGTGCATAGTCTTCCATGTGCTCGTCGTCTGGTCTCTCTTCCGCATACAGTCGCAGCCCTTCGAGGCGCGTGGCCTCGGGCAGACCCAGCGCGCTGCATCCAAGTGAATGGTCGGGCGTTGAGGGGACAGACGTTGCCCGGCTTTCCAGACCATGGTCGTCATCGAGCTCGCTCCCCTCGCCCAGCCCGTCCGTGCCATCCGAACCCGAGTCCGTGTCTGAGTCCATGTCAACGTCGGCGTGCTCGTCATGGCACAGTCGGTACCGCGGAATCTTTTGCGGCAGCTGCTGTGAGGGCGAGCTGGGCGAGGGCAGCTGGGTTGCGGATCGTTTGCTCGATGTGCGTACAATGGTGCCGTTGGGGCCCATCTTCCTCCCTCTCCGCTGCTCGGATGCGCCGTCATCGCCGCTGGCGCTCAATTCGGCCGCGGCGTCGCAGTATCCACAGGGCGGCGCTTGGACACTGGTGTCGAGAGACTGGAGCTTGGGCGAGCGCGCCTTCATGGCTTCGGCGTCGTCGGGTGGTGTCTGACCCGTAACGGAGTACCTGCGTTGGGTGACCATGACGAGAAAAACAGACGAAGAAGAAGAAGAAGAAGAAGCAGTAGCGATAGAGGAGGATGAGAGCAGGCTGATAGGGGCGCGATAAGTGAATGGTACGTGGAATGCAACGGCAGGCTCCAGCAAAGTCTTTCGCTGGGCGTGAGCTGGCAGGGCGGACGATTGGCTTCAGCAGGCCGTCGACGCGTTGCTGGGCGAGACTTGCGGGGTGCGTTAGGTAGCGTTGCGGATGCGGACCGAGTGGGGAGACACCACTTTTTTTTATCGATTAGGCGGGTTCGGGATGAAAGGGTAAAGAATTGGGGGATGGATCACGAGGGGTGAAGCGATGCAAAGGCTACGTAGTAGGCGAAAGCAAAAAAGTCTGCAATGGTGCAACAGTGCAGCAGGCGTACAACGAGCGGCAGGCAGCGGACGAACAACGACAGTGTGGACGAGGGGGAGCAATCAGGGAGTGGAGTGAGGAGATGAAGACGCGACAGGTTTGGCAACTGGGTCAGCGATACCGTCGGCAGTGCGTGTTTCATGACACCGCAATTTGTCGTGAAGCCTGCCAGCACTGCCACTACCAAGCTCCACCGCTAATCTCTCGTGTAATCTTCTTACCCTTCTTTGCTTTTGCCATGATAAGCCATGGACCCCGGCACCACGTGCTACTTACATATATTACGATCCGCATCAGCGACTACATATTTCGGGGCATTTCATCTCGACTCGGTACCCCCCACTTTCAGCTTCATGCTCGACTCCCAATTGCGACGCTGCCACACAATTGCTGCTGAAACGCCTCATGCCCACACCATTCGACAATGCCAATACACTTCTCGCGTCAAGAGCCTTCAATTTATCTCTTACAACGTCATCACTCACAATAAGTAGCAGTCGGAAGAGCTGCAAGCATCGTGTCACCACTTTGTTTCTCTGTACCCCACAGTAACGAGTGTGTAATCCAAGACATGTATGAAAAGAAATCCACTAGGTAGGCCCTGTTGAAGGACACTACAAGAAGCCAGCATCCCCTAGCTTGTATCTTACCCCTCAGAAATCACCTGTTGAACCGGTGCTTTACTGTTCACCATCAATCCTGTCCCAACAACGAACTACCTTACATGCCACCCTTCTTCTCTTCCGTCATCTGGGGCTCCCTCACCATGATATCCATGGGAATATTCTTTCCACCCCTCTGAAGGAGGACCCTTCTCGTCACTTGGAAGCCAAACTTGCGGTAGATCGGGGGGTTGGCCTCGTTACTCGACTCCAAGTAACACGGCCTGCCCTCACGATCCGCCAGCTTCGTGACATGCTCAATGAGCTTGCGAGCATGGCCCTTTCCACGGCCACTAGGCCTAGTGCCAATGTATACCAAGTACCAGGCCTCGAGTTCTCGATCGCCAAGCGTAGTATGCATCGTGTCGTGGAGTAGAGGAATGAACTCGCCAAAGAAGCGACGCTTGCCTTCGGCCGACAGGCGGAAGTTCAGACGCCACATGCCAGAACGGAATATGGTTAGATAGTCATCCATGTTCTGGCCTGGCGGCATCCTATAGAATGCATATGTAAGCCCGATAATTCTTGCATGGGTTACCAAAGGTTAATATATGATGACTTACCACAACGCAACTGCTTCAAAGTCTCCGACCGTAGTCACCATTCCCTTGAGGATGTGAGCATACGTGATGTATTCGAGAATCTCGACATGCAAAGCAAACTTTCGCTCTTCAGTCCAGTGGGCAAGGTCAGGTACATCGACAAAGTACCTGACTACCTCATCCTGGTTAAAGGCATCGGCCAAGCAACGAGCAGCTTGCTTGTACTCGGCAAGGGTCACGACACGGACATCATGCGTAAGCGGAGGCAAGGCAGGAGCGGTGGGCTTTTGCTTCACAATCTTGATGCTAGCTGGGACTTCATTGGCCCTGATCGTGGCAGACTTCAAGTTGGAGGATTTTGCTTCTCCTGCAAAACTACAGCTGACTGGCGTAATGGGCGACAAGGTTTTCGCCATAATTGCGGTTTCGTGGGTAAGCTTCTACTAGTATTCAAATGGGATCTGCCGCTTCGTTTGGTAATTGGGACAGTCGTGGAATAAGCCACCGTGAAGTGTTCCCCGCAGGGCTAGTTACCAGGCTCGTCGAAAGGTAGGGTTAGTCACTTGAACCACAGTGTGTCTAGAAAGAAACCTTGAGTTCAAACAACGCTACTAGATGGATAGAATTAGTATCGTTGTGGTTGATATGGGTCGTCGTGGGCTGAGCAGGAGCCTTGACCGTAGATTGCCTGCCATTATGGTATACCTTTTCTCGACTTGCTAACTGGTGGTTTATGTATGGGCAGGACGATTTAAATCTCCTGTATGGTTTTTGGAAAGCTGCGATCTCGAGACAGTTTCGACTCGAGATGGGTAGCGTAGAGAGGTGAAAGCTTGACGCAGATCAACCGACATCAATGGGTGAGGCTCGATGAGCTCCCTTTTGAATTCAGTGTTGCTGGTGAAAGGGGACCCGAGCGACGGGATCTTCCTGTACCGATAGTATACGTGTTGGGTTATCGATGTATCAAGCCCGTGTACGTGGACTGGTGTCCGTTGATGTATGGCTAGCCCGAGGCGTCCAAGTTGCTTTTTACTCGTTGAGGGGGCTGTCACAAGAGCACTGACAGCACAGCTGTACGATGCTTGGCCAACGTCGAGCCGCAGCAGCAGTGTGTCGTGAGAATGTCCGGTTGCAGCCGGAGGCGTGTATCGTGGGGGTTGTTGCAGTAGTCACTAAGGCGCGTTTGACGTGAGATGACGAGCAATGATTGACTTGCTCCAGTGGTAGTAAACGTAATGCCTCTTCGACAAGAGCCATAGATGGGGGGACATCAGCATACTGATATAGTTCCACGGCTACCCCCCCCCCGTCTGTGCAGCACCCCAGCATCCTCGGGTGGAGGCCAAGGTCATGCTTCACATATGCCGAGCAACCTCTAGTCACTACGGAACCATTTGCCTGGCTACTAGGCGTCCTTCCCGTTATCATTCGTCTTGTGACTTCAGCTGCATGTCGGCCCGATGCGGCTCAACGCGTGCATTACTTGTGCACGTATTTGCTCATTCTCATTGCTTTGCTTTGTTATTTACATGCGATCAGCGGCAGAATGAGGAGGGCAAGTGATGTGGCATTGACAGTGGCGTATGTACTGTGAGCATCTGTGGGGATGAAGAGGAAGCATGGTAGCGCTGACCTCGGCTGGACCTCCCGGAGTAGGCAACTCCAGAGCCATCATCCAGCCCAGTAGATCATCAAAACTCTCCATTACTCTACACGCAGCAGTTCAACGCAAGATCAAACTCGTATCGGCATAGATTAGGCTGCCAGTCATTCTGCTAGGCAAAAGCTAAAGAGCCAAAGGCGCTGCTAGTGGCTGGTTAACCATGACCAAGCTTGCGACGACACAACGATAAGAGAGGGGTAGTAGATGCTGATTGTACGCACGATAAAGCCATATGAATAATTGGCGTGGGGTCTATTCAAACCACTGGTGACGGGGATATTATCGGAAACTTGATATCTATGGGCGCCGAGCCTGCATGCATGCGCCGCCTCACTTCGGAACCCGGCGTGGTCTAACGCGGAACCCTAAGTAGATTCGACACGGACGATTGGTCTCGGAGTTTGTAGCTGTGCTCACTTGCAATACTGCCCACTTCGCAGGGCGCAATCCTCCACTGCCTTTTACATACGCCGAATCTCCGTCTCTCCCAAATACTTCTCTAGTCCGGAGTCAAGGTGGTTCCACCACTCGAACAGCATGCTCTCACAGATGAGCTTGAACCATGGTGTAAACTTGAGCGACTTGTCCTTGAACATGGTCTTTAGGTCCTCTTGGGATACCCATTTTGAATCCCGGACTTCGTTGGGGTTGATGTCAAGGTCGACATCGGCCTTCATGAACAGGATGTAGTCAACTAAAACGGTTGTGAGTACTTGTCTACGACGACTTTGGTGCCCCTTGACATTAAAAGAACTTACTCTCATGCTCGCCCCATACGCCATCACTGGGCGACTTGTAGTGTATCCGCGTAAGAAACTTGAAGTCGTCAATAGGCACCTGCTCGGACTTGATACCAAGCTCATGGTTGAGCTTGCGTACTGCTGCGCGGCGCACACCCTGAATCGACTCCTCAAGCCCGACACCCGTCTCCCCAGGTATGCCTAGCGGGTGTGAACAGCATGTGTTTGTCCACATGTCCGGGAACGTGATTTTCTCGGTCGCACGTTGCTGGAGAAGCAGACGGTTCTTGGAGTCGAAGAGGAAGACAGAGAATGCACGATGGAGGAGGCCTTTGTCGATGTTCTCCATGAGATGGCCTGTCTATATCAGCACTGCTCAGAGTTACACAGTTGGTCGTTCCCGGTCGCCTTGCACCTTGGGCTATGCTGTGCGCAAACACTTACACAGTTTCTTGGTCGCGCTGCCAATGGGCAAGTCGTCGTTGTCCAAGACAATGCAAACCTCGTCCATCAGCCGTATCTGCTCCTCATCATAGCCTTGTAGCGCATTGTCATCTGTGGCAGAGTTGTGCGATCCTCCGATGAGCGAAGTGTTTACTTCGGGAAATAGGCGCAAGACATTTTCCGCAGTGATCACGGGGTGCTGAGTGACCGTCTCGACAGTGCTCATGATTGCGATCTGTGGTGAGTAAAAAACAACGAGGATTGAGACGTGGCGATTGATCCCCGAAAGTCGAGAGAGGGGCGGTATAGGCCCGCCTAAGAAAGCGCGCGCCTCAGGGTCCAAGCTCACGTGCCCATCTTCGCCGCGGCAGTGACTTGTGGTTGGTCCGTTGGCCAGTCGGTATTTTGCTGGATTCGGTCAGTCGGTCAACGCACAACTTGGTATTGGTAAATACAAATGCGGTCTGGTCTTAACATTGCTCATTGCTCATCATTTCTATATATCCCGCCTACTGCCCATGGGCCTAGCTGCAGGTATCAAAAAACTAAAAAACTCTGTAACTTTTCCGTGGCCGGAACAAATGTAAAACCGCTCCAGAAAGACGACTGCCAGAAACGACTAACTCCGGATATCCCATATATACAAATGACCCGTACTTATGATGCGGTCACGGTCTTGTTCTTCTTAGCAGCAGGAACCTCGGCCTGCGCATCGGCCGTCGCCTCGAGCTCCCTCTTCTCGTTGACACTGTTCAGCTCGGCCTCAACCTGAGCGAATTTGGCCTTCTCCTCCTCTGTCATACCTGGCAGAAGTGGCACTTCCTCGGTAGTATGGAGGTTGTTGTGATAAGTACGGATGATGGAGTCAGTGTCGTCTAGTGCAATCTTGCGGATGTCGGCAATGGCCTTGATCTTAGCAGTGCACTCCTTGTATTGGGCCTCAGTCATCTGCAGACCAAGCTGCTCGGCACGGCTCTTGATTGCGTTCCATCCCGTAAGCCTGCTGGCAAAGTGCACGTAGCGGGACATGCCGAAATCCTGAGGGTTGATAATCTCGTATGTCGAGGGGTTGTTCAGAATGGCCTTGGCGTGAATACCAGCCTTGTGGGTGAAGGCGCAGAATCCGGTAATGTAGTTCTGAGATATGAGTCAGTGGTGTGTCTAGATTGCTGTTGCTTTGGAGAAAGAACTTACGTTGAAAGGAATGTTGACTTCAACGAGATCGGCAACCAGATCCTCAACCTCCTTGAGCGCCTTGATGTTGTACTTGCTGGTGACGTATTCGCGGTCGGCTACAATCATACGAGCCATCAGACCTCCAAGAGGAGTAATGCCGTTGCGCTCGCCAATGCCGAGTACAGAGGTGTCAATGTGCGTAGCTCCTGCCTCGAGCGCACAGAATGCGTTGGCAATAGCACAGCCAGAGTCATTGTGGAAATGTGTCTCAATGTCGCAGGAAACGACGCCACGCAGAGTGCGGACCAAGTCGTATACTTGACGGGGAGATGCGCAGCCAACGGTGTCAGCAATACCAACACGGTCGACGCCAACCTTGTCAACGGCACTATAGATGGAGAGAAGATCCACAAGGTCTGATCGGAACGAGTCCTCGGAACTAAAGCGGATCTCCTTGCCCTTGCTCTTGACAAACTCAATAACCTCAAGCGCCGTGTTCTTGATGTATGTCATGTCCTTGCCGTGGCTGTGCTCGCGGAGGTATGCTGAGGTTCCAATGACGACATCGAGACCGTCGACACCCGTCTCGACAGCGATTCTGGCATCGTCCATGTGGCATCGTACGTGGGTGAGAATCTTGGCTTTCAACTGCAAAATTATCAGCGTGCGACCTCGCTACCAGGATATTTGTAAAACGTACTCCGAGCTTGCACAGAGCCTCGCAGTCCCTTCTTGACTGCTCGGAAGCAGCGGGACTGGTAACTTCGATGTCTGGAATCTGATTAGCCTGGGGAATTTGCAGGCCAAGTGCCGCGGAGTAAATTTCTTACAGTCAACACCAAAGTTGTCGAGGGCTTTGGCAATCTTGATCTTGGCTTCGAGGTCGAAGTAGGCATTGGCAAACTGCTCGCCTTCTCTCAGTGTGCTCTCTACGCAAACAAAGTCAGTTGTGCTCTAGTATCGTGCTCAATTGGAAAACTTCAAGTATCGACGCGTGCGCATCGGGTGGCGGTGAAGGTTGGCATTCTGAACGCACCGATAATCTTGAATCGCCCAACATTTGACAAGAAGTCGCCGACAGGCTGATAGGGGCTCCTGTGTGACGGGTGAGGGTTCTGCTTGGTCTGGACACCAGTAAAGCCTTCCTTGCTGCGAGGTGCACCATTGGTGCCGTTGGCATGGCCGTTGGTGGTTTCTTCGGTAGGAGGGCACATTTTGAAAATTGAAGTGTGTTGTAAAGTTGTTGGAAGAGTGGTGGGCAAAGAGCAGTATTTGAAGGCCGGGCAGCTGCTCCCAAGGTGAGTCAATGACAAAAATCTGCTGCGCTGAGCGATGATGAAAAGCGTCAGAGCCGGGATCGGGCCTGTAGCTGTGCTAGGCCGGCTTCGCTGATGATGTGGGGTTGAGCGACCAACGGGAGCACTCCCCTTGGATGCACGGGAGGCGGAGTACAGCCATTTTTTTCCCGCTCCCAGTCTATCCCATGCTCCACAAACCTGGAGAAACTGGACCAAGACTCCAAATATGGTTTCCACAGGTGAGTCAAGCAATGGGGGTCCGGCAATTTGCAATCCACCCTTGACTCAACGCTCTCTCTCTCTCATGCCTGGGCACTGGTCTGCTTGCTGGCCCCTCGCCCACGCGGTATACCAAGCAAGACGCAACAATTATCTATGCTCTCGACTGTCCTAGTCTTTGCGAGTGTATACGCTATGCCAGGCATGTGCAACTCGATGCGAAGCAACAAATCACATGTCGCCTCGTGAAGATTATCATGCATAAGGGCTCGTCTGAACACTCCGAATTACACCGCTACACCAGTCCATTCACTACCACAGTTCCGATTTCACTACCCGACTTGGACTCATGTTGAACAAAGGAGCACATGTAACATCAAGGGTCGCTCGTTCCAGTCAGGACTCCATTCGCATACTACAAGGTATACAAGCTTTGAATAGTTCATGTATTAACATTTGTGCATCAATCAAATATGTGGAATTTTGTATATTATCGTACTATTTAAATGACTCAGAGTGTACCTTGACATTCTGGGTGTGACAAGAGATTTAATATCGAGATAGCACAATACGCATGATCCCTCACCCGCTATATTTTTTTTTCTGGGCAGACCCTAAAGACACTTGTACCTTCTGGGTAGCCGGTGGCTCAACACGCAAGCTTGCGGGGATACAGACCGCTGCTTGCAAGGTGGCACCAAGTCTTGATTGATGTCTTGATGGCCTGTCGCCGCCCCGCCTGCAGAACTAGACCCAGGGATGCGTTGTCTATGTATCCTCTCTGCTAACCATGACACTGGGCGGTGAGAGACAATGGCTCATGATAAGTATGTAAAAGTCTAACAATTGTGATTAAAATAGAACTACGTGGTATCACATCCTAGTGCCCTAGATTGCCTCATGGTATCTGAACGGAAGCACAATGCCCCCCAAACGCCCCGCCTGACCCAAAAAAACAGCCTCTATTTCCCAAAGGAGATGACTATATACTCTGCTCCATCTCTGTAATGTAGAGCTTGATGTGACTCTCCATCTTGAGATACTCGTCGTGAGCAGAGTGAACCTCGTTCTCAATGTTGTCTTTGAGCTCGGCCATCTTCTTCTCGGTCTGCTCAATACGAACTCTCCGCCGCTCCATCTCTCGCCCCTTCTCGCCGCGCTCTTCGGTAAGCTTGGCATGAGTGTCTCGAAGCTCCTCCATACGTCTGCGCGCACGCTCTGCCTCCTCATCACCTTTGGCCTTGAGCTTGTCTGTGCGGGCATTGATGTTACCCAATTGCTTTTGCAAGAGGCGTTCTTGTCGCTCGACGTCGCGCACATTGTTGCTCCGGTCGGCTAGCGCATCTCGATGTCTCGATGCCTTTGCCAGCTCCTCCTCCTCTCGCGCGAGATCGGCTTGTACATCGGTAAGCAAGCGCGTGCATGAAGTAACGTCGGTAGCGACAACAGCGAACGAATCGGTCGAGGTCTGGAGGGCACGAGCACGGCGGTCCAACATGTCAATCTGTGTCTTATCGCCGGTGAGACGATCGCTCAAGTCGCGCAATGAGTCTTCAAGAGCTGTTGGGCTCTGTTGAGTGTATGGTTTCAATTTCAGCACCTCGCGCTGGACATTCTCCTTGTTTTCGACCTTTTGCTGAAGCAGCTTCTTCAGCCTGTCTTGCTCCATCTTGGCACGCTCCAGCTTCTCTGCTACTGCCTCTTGCCCCCTCTTCAATTCCAGCAGTCGGGTCTTCAGCTCGTTGTTGCGCTTCTCCTTCTCCTGCATCAGCCTTTGAGTGGCTGCACGATTGCGCTCGAGATCGGCCAGTTGCATTTCCTTGGTTTGCTTATCGTTGTACAACTGCTCGATTCGTAGTTTAGTGCGTTCGGCCTTGTTGAAATGTTCGTCGATGATTTCGGTTTGAGATTCGCGGAAGCGGATAAAGTTGATCATGTACGAAAATATCTTAACAAGGCGGCCATGAGTGGGCTTGTATAGATCGTTGAAAGTAAAATCGTGAATTCCACACTAGATTTGTTAACAAAGACCGATCCGGACACTTCCGAATGACACTCACCTCGCGCAATAGTTTTCGTAGAATGACAAAGAAGCCCATCAAATCTCTGGTATCGCTAGTGTAGAGTCGCTCTGCGTCTCCTCCGCACATGTCTTCAGCCGCGGCACGCATCGCTGGCGCAACGACTTCGCGAGTCGTGTTCATCAGCAGTTCGGCCAGCCATTCGAAAACTTTTTGGATGATCTGGGGGTTGGGCTTCTGTAGGTCCGATACGGTGAACTGGATGCCGATGTCTGAAATACAGCCTGCAATCTCGTTGTCCGGCTAGAGCAGTCAGCATGTCTTCGACTCGAGGGGCGTCTGTCGACATACCAAGGTCATGAAAGCGTCATGTTCGTTGACCGGGGGTGCGCGCTGATTGTGTTGTGTGGTGCGCGCCATGCTCATGCGCCCGTTGTAAGACATGGTGGTGTTATGGGCGACTGCAGACAGGTATTGATGTATTGGTTGAATATTGCTGGATTTGGTTATCTCGACTGCGGGGTGATGGTGGTGTAATGTGGGTGGGCGGTGTTTGTTTACACAGTGGAGCGCTTTGTTGGCAAGGCACGGGAGACCCTGTCTTTTCCGAATCGGCACAAGCAGAACAGCACACGGATCCACACCAACAGCTCGTCCACAACCAGACATGGACCACGGACGGCAAGCGGTTCCGCTGCTTACTCTCACTCTGTTTTCACATGCTTGTGAGCTATCGATATGTACGCAGTACTGTTCCCTGTGCTCACATGACCTCCCAACAATGTCACGTGCACGCTCCTTGGAAGCATTGATACTCCAAGCCGTCTCACCAATATTGGCGGCTTTTGTACTGCATGCTAGCTTTAGCGTTCAGATGGTGAATGAAACAACTGCTACACTGGTAGCGGGCTCTCTGTGACCATATCAAGCAACGTTCGTAATGGGCTATGACTCCTGTTTGGACAGTGGCAAGCTCTCTCGTCTCTCCTTTGCTCACAGACAACATCGAACAATGCTACAGCACCTCGGGTTTTGTATATGGTAAGACGTTTTATGCATATGTTTACCTGGTGCTGATTTCGAAATGTACAAGATAAGATGAGACAACATGTAATATACTCCAATTGAGTGCAGGCTGTTCAAACACTAAGGCAGTGGGGTAAGGAGGTGAAGTAGAAGGAGTAAGATGCTCGACTTCTCAAGGTCACATGGGCGGCATGCACATGTGGATTAAATCATGTCGTCGTACATACATACATACATACATACATAGCCGGGTGGCTTTTGGCGGGCCTCCAGTTTGGTTTGAATTTGCCCAGGAAACCGTAGCTGGTAGGCGAAAAGTACTCGGGTAAAAGGTACCGTTGGATGGAACGCTCCTTCCGCCGCAGCCAGCACTAGCCACGTGACACGGAACCAAAGAGCGAGAAAAAGAAACAAAACCAAAACAAACTAATTCTGTTGCCTAGACGTAGGAGTGATGCACTCGCAGTGATGCGTTGGCTGCGTGGAGGATTCCGACCGGACATGCAGCAGCTTGGGGTTAGTGAGCACAGTGTTTATTGGGAGCATGGCTTTGCATGAGTTGAATGACACTCCGGACAAGCAATGTACCCAAGTGACTAGGAGCAAATCCCCGAGATGCAGTGTTGTAATTTCGCGCGAGGCGAGGGGATGTTATGCTTGTCCGACGCACGCCAATATTGGCCTGCTGTTGTGGCAGCTGTTATACGTCAGGCTTGAGCAAAAGTAGTAAGTATGCTTGCACGACTACGAAGCATTGGATCATAACTCCAACTAAAGAAAGAGTGAGCCAGGGTTAGTAATAATAGTAAGCAGCAGGGCAAGACGAGGAAAAAAATGCTACAGTTTTTTGGGGATCCGTTGCTGCGTCTATGCGTTCACTGGGGTTGTATGGCCGAGATAGTGCCAACCCTGGTGGAGACGAGGGGAGTGGGAGGGCTGGAAAACGGAAAACGGGCGGCCATGAGCAGGATGGTCGGTCGGTCGAGGCCGAGCAATGAACGGCTTGTCGTCATGCATTGCCCCCTCCCCCAGCGGTTCGGCTTAGTTGTAGGTGTAGGAGGCAGAAGGGAAAGTAAGTTCAGACTTGTGGCTAGGGGGCCAAACTCTGGAGCGAGGTTTGGTGGATGGATGCACAGTGGTATTGGATCATGCGCCTCGCAGGCGTGGCGGAAAGCCGCAAGCGAGGCAAAAATTGACGTAGGTGTGACAGTTGGCGTTCCCTGTATGTCGCCCGTACTTGGATGGTTCGTATTGGCGTTGGCAATGAGTCAACTGCGGGCCGCCGAGAAAGCGGAAGCCGGGACTGTAACTGCACAAGTCAGGTAATACCACATTGTGCATCTGAAACGTCAGCCTGCCACGCCTTGAACGTTTCACGCGACCTCCAAGTAGGTGTAGAGGCGAGGAGGCTTGGTGGGCGCCGACAGGTCTTTGCAGTAAGTAGAGTAGTATATGGGGCACACGCACAAGACGAAAAAGCAGGCGCCAGCCATGCGCAGCCGTTTGGGCCGGCGGGCGACGGTTGTGGTCTTGGGAGGGGAGGGGGGGCCCGCTGGCCGGAGCAGGGAAGGCCCTTACAGCGGGGTGCGAAGGAATGCGCATGGTTGAGAGACGGGTACCTGAGTTGCAACGAGGCACACAACGTCGCTGTCGATGGACTTGCAGGTGGGTGGGCTGCAGGGAGATGGAGATGGTGACGGTAGTGTAGTATCCCCCCCCCAGCAAGCCACGGGCACCATTGGCGTGCAGGAGCAGGAGCAGGAGGAGGAGCAGGAGCAACGTGTCCCACTGAAATTCAATACAGACATGGTTTGGGTCGCAGGCGTGCAGCGTACCGCGCTCTGACAGCACGCAGGCTCCGGTGCAGTGCAGGGCAGGGCAGGGCAGGCATGGTGTGCAAGTGCAAGTGCGAGTGCGAGGTGCAAAAAAGCGTGGAAATGACAGCGGCTTGAATATGTTTGTTTTGCAGTGGGGGGGGCAGCATGTTTCTTTTTTGTTCGACGGGGGGGCACAGGAGACCAGTGGCAGGCGAGCGATAAGCTGAGGTGAGCAGCGGCCCTGGCCTGGCCTGGCTGGATGCTGGCATTGCCATGGATAGGGTAGCGCAAGCCCCTTGCCACCGTTGGTTGGCCACGGTCAGGGCGAGATCGACGAGGGCAATCTGGGACGGTGCTTCTGGCGTTCCAATGCCTTGTCTCTGCCTGCCTCTGCCTGCCTCTCCCCCAGCCCGCCGCTGCTGTCGTGGCCGCGGGTGCGGTGCTGCTGTGGTCCAGCGGCCAGGGCGAGGCAAGATTAAAAGCTGCTGCACTCCCTCGCCCGTGTCGCCGCCCTCTGCGCACCGACAAGGACCGACCAGGCCCCCAGCAGAGAAATGCCCGAAAAGAACAAGCAAGACGGGTAGCATAGTAGTATATTTTTGGCCCTGTCCGCCTGGTGGGGATCTTCATCAGCGAAGGGTCGAGCCCTGTGAAGCAAGATTCGAGCCCTGTCTACTCTACGTATGAGCGGAGGGTACACCTACAGGTAGATACGAGCAGGCGGATCCTCCCTTACATCACATCGCAGCACCGCCCTGCACCCGCCCTGCACCGCACCCACGCACACAGACACTCGCACGCACACAGACACAGACACAGACATACGCACACGCAGACACACCATACTGCCGTCTCTCATACTTACACATCCACTGCTCATCATCCTCCTCTTCTCCCTTGCCTCCCACTCACTCCCTTACACCTACGCCCTCCGTCACTTACCCACTCGCTCGCCCGTTGGCGGCCCCAGCCCGAGTGCCACCCGCCCACCGCAGCCCGCGCAACATGCAGCCCGACCGGCCGTGCAGCGACTCCCATTCCACATAGCACCCGCCCTTCTCTCGCTATCCCCCGACTTGCCTCGTCGCGTCGACTGTCGCGACGAAGCCCCTCGACAAAAAACACCTGCTTCATAGAGCTCCTCGCCGTCGCCGCCGCGCTGGCGCCCGCGAAGCCCCATGTGGCTGTTTGGGCGGAGGCGGAGGAAGGCCGCTAAATTAAGAGACGGTGGTGGATCTGCTGCCGCTACAGAAAGGAACTTGCCTGTCGCATCCGCCGCCGGCCAGCAATCCAACACGAATCAGAGCAATAATGGCCCGCGGCGAGGCCCTAGTCAACGCTTACGCCGCAGACGGGGCAGTTCGCGGTCCACGCCCGCTTCAATCCGCGACGTTGACAAGACCCTGCCCGAACTCTCTTTTGCCAAAGAGCCTTGGCCCCAGTCAAGCACTGAAGACATCACCGCCCTGCCTGCGCAGCGTCGACTCCAACACAGCCCACACCTGCGTCCCATTACCCAGGAGCACGGCGGCATCCTCTACAACTTCCAGTCCCACGTCCATCCCGAACCCCTGGTCTCAGCAAAGGATCGCGGCAAACTCCAGCGATCCCAGTCAATGCGCAGGGATCCGCATATTATAGACTCCCTTGTCCGCCGCAAGTCGAGTAAACGGCGCAGAGAACATGATCACGTCCGTGAAGAGGAGATCCGCGCCATGTCTCTTGCCATGCCTCAGAAACGACCCGCCGGCAACTCTGCCAGTATGCTGCGCAGAGACAGCAAGAAGGTCAAGGGCGCCATCAACTACCGCCTTGAGCGCCCGACCTCGAATGTTTCCCTGTCCCTCGCCGACTCGATCCACTCGTCCATGTCCGGTGGCTCAGACAACCGCGCCTTTCGCGTGAGTGCACTCGACATGTTCTCACCTCGACCCACCATTCGCGTCTCTTACGGCTCAAACTATCACGCAGGCGACCGCACCTCGCCCAATGCACGAAGTGAGAAATCCGCACGCCGCGACCGACGACCAATTACCAGCAATGAGGAAAAGGCAAACCGGAGAACAAGTAGAATTGACGACTTGGCTGACGACCTCGACACCGGAGCACTCCGCGATATCCTCGAGCGAGACAAGAGGCGGAGAGAAAAGAAGGCCAAGGCCGACCAAGAACGTCTCCGCCGAAGGCTAGAACGACGCGCCGAGAAACAGAATGCTGCTGCCGAAGCCCAAGTCACGCCTGCAACTCCCCCCAAGGATGAAATTAGTAGTAAAGTTGGGCTGGGCATTGAGCGAGAGGCTCCTGTGCCCATGGAGGACGTTCGTCCATCGACACCAGCCCGACCTCAGCCAGTCGAGATACCCATCACCCCTCCAACGCAAGTCAACAACCAGTTACCCACCCCATTCGAAAGCCCTGTTGAAGAACCCGTTGTATCCGATGCCCAGGCTGTCCGCTTCTCACGAGGCAGCGCCTCCACACAGCTGCACACCCGTGTCGTGTCCAATGCTTCCATACTCCCAGAACTCCTAACCGAGAAACTTGGCCACGACACCCCTATTGAGTTTGTGCATTTCCAGGAGCCTGCAAGGAGCGGATCATTGCACCCTGTTGATACCATTGACACTACGGCGACGTCGAAAAAAGGATCTTCTATGCGTAGGCTCAGCACTGAGGGCAAGCGCTTGGGCGTGTTTGCTTCACTCTTCCGAAGAGGAAAGCGCAACTCGCAAGACCAAGCACGTCCTCCGCCTTCCGAGGCCTCCTTCTCCAACACATCACGGGAATCCATGTCTCGCCAGCACATTCCCATTCACCTCGTCGGTACTGCACCTGTGGAGTCACAGCCAATGCAGATAAAGAGACCCTCTAGTGTACCTCGACGAACCCGATCAAAGTTTAGGGAAGATCTCCCCGAATTCCCCATCTCACCTCCCGATTCCCGCGTGCAATCACCCGAAGCACCGGCCAACGCTGGCCTTGCTGCTCGCAGAAGAAGCCAGCATCTGTCGGATATTCGTGTGGGACCGCCATCCGATGACCGGTCTGATTCGCCCGTGAGTCCCAGTTTGCCCACCAACAACATGTCACAGTCTCTTGCATCAGTCGACTCTGAAGCATCATGGCTTTCGGGAAGACCGCTTAAACGGCCATCCAATCGGTCCCAGATGCGCTCTAGCCTCAAGTCTTCGGCTGTGATGCGTCACGAAGAGTTCAATCCTTCTTACGAGGAACTGGGAATGGCCGATGACGAGTACTTCAAGAGACTCACTGGCATGCCAAACCAAAGAGGCTACTCTCCTTATGGAAGCGATGACCGGGGCCGGAGAGCTAGTAGCACTTTGATGGCTCTTGACACTGCGGTCGAATCCGACGAGGAGGTCGAGTCCACTCTTGTGGCTTCGACAACCGAAGATGGCAACCAGCGTGTCCAGAGCGGCGTCGCCCGGCAGCCTACTATAGTTTACCGCCGACCTCGCATCCAGTCCACCGAAGGTCTTCTAAGCGTCTTCACCGACGACACGGGGGATAGATCCTCCAAGGCGGCCGAAGTAGTGACGGGATCGCCCACCGAAGAGTCACCGACATCACCGACATCAGATTCGGAGCCAATGGTGTTGCAACGTGCCAAAAGCGTTGATCTCGGCAAGCATCATGTCAGGCACCTCAGCGCTGGTTCGGCGAGGCTTCTGGACATCCACAAACGGTCAAGCATACCGTTGGACGACAACTCACCCGCAAGAAAGCCCGAGCAGGAGTAAGACAGCCGTTTTGTAAGAGCTTTCCTGATTTTTCTGATATTGCATGCCTGCCACGCCACGCCATTCATTTTGCATTTTTTCTTTGTACCTTGATCCACTCACTCAGTCACTCGTTTACGATTTCCTTGATTGTCTCTTGTCTCTCTTATCTCTCGTCTCTTGTCCCTTTTTGGCTTGGCAGCATGCGATTCATTGATCAGGAAAGCTCTCGAATGGATGCAAGCTTCCTCTCGGACCAATTCTGTGGGGGTCTGGGTTGTCCTTTGCGCCTTGCATAGCGCGGTGTTTGTATTTTATTTTCAGGATTTGGGTTTGTTTTATTGTGGTCTGTGATAGCACAAGCAGCTGCGGTCGGCTTCTGTGATACCCTCCTTATGGATTGCGATGTTGGTTTTGTAATTAATAGTTTTTTTTTGGAATACGGGCAGCATTTAGACGTGTGCAGTTAGGCCCAGTCTCTTAGGGCCGCCGCCTCATTGTATCTTCGGCGTGTAGACCTGGCGTTGTTAAGACACTTCTCTGGATGGATCTTTTCTTGCGGGAAAAACTGTAATTTTAAGTTGATGAGCCGCACCAGTGGCTTTTGTACATCAATCATTGCGCCCACCTACTTATGTCTCTTCTTTATGGGTCTCGATATAGAGGTGGGTTGGGAGATGTCGGGCTTCCGTCCATGACTTGTTACATGGCGCTTCCGAGAGGTTGAGTTGCAGCAAGTCGACGTCGTCGTGGTTGCCACATGGCTCGCCGCACGAGGCAGGACCCTGGCGGGGCAACTCGGGTCGTCGGTCGGCCAAGCACGTCATCCATCACTACAGCCCCTCCAGCCACCTGTGTACAGTAATCCGCCTTTATCAGCGCGCCTGACGCTATACATACCTAAGAAACTCGGAGAAATCCAACTTCACTTACCATCACAAATACACTCACCTTTGGACATTGTAAGCAGCCCCTTTGCGTTCCTATTTGCCTCTCCGCCGTCCCGCTCCAGTGCACTACTACGATTCTTGCATCTGCGCAGGGACTCCCAGGGCTTGCCGAAAAATAGGCGCGCTTCAGCATTGCAATCGGCAACGGCGGCGGCCAGTTCATTCCATTCTCCCGAGCATTTGAAATCACCTTTTTCTTGCCGTCTCTCTCTCTCTTCTTGTCTAGCATATATTATGTTCGCGCCGTCATCATTCAGAGCTACCAGAACACTGCTCACATCTGTACGTCTGCAAACAGCTTCCATCAACCCCACCTCAACCACCAACCTCTACCGACCACTCTTCACCCCACGTTTCTTCTCAAACACCGCAAAAATGAGCGAACAAAAGGAGGGCGTCCACAACCTTAGCAGGTAAGTCTCTGCCCGTCGCCTTTCGCGCCATGTACGCGACGTCATACTTGGTAGCCGTAGCTGACGCGATGCGAACTGTAGCAAGGCCGACTTTGACGCTGCCTTGAACGACAAGGAAACCCTGCTGGTTCTTGACTGCTTCGCGACATGGTGCGGCCCTTGTAAAGTGATTGCTCCCCAGGTCGTCAAGTAAGCCTCTACCCTAGCCCATGTACGCAGATTGCGCATCTCACACTGCACTAGGTTTTCCAAAGAATACCCCACCGCACGCTTCTACAAGCTCGACGTTGACGATGTCCCCGACGTCGCACAGGAACTCGGTATCCGCGCTATGCCCACCTTCCTTCTTTTCAAGGGCGGTGACAAGGTCGCCGAGGTTGTTGGTGCCAACCCCAAGGCTCTCGAGGCCGCCATCAAGGCCAACCTCGAGTAAGAGATATACGCCGCAATACACTTGGGCCGCTCCCGCAATCATGGGTAATCTCACTCGACAGACGAGGCCTTCATATTGAATGGAGTTGCATTCCTTTGAGAACGATTGAACAGTGGGCAGCAAGCGGGGGAATGCGGAATCATGATAGAAATTTTCGAATACCAAAATATACAAGTCCCCCCTGTATTCTAGACTTTTGACGGCCCTTTGACCTTGAAATACTATGGTCTATTCCAGAACCTGAATCACTGGGTAGTCTTTACAAACGCGCCCAGGGCCGTACTTTTGCTATTCACTGAAAGACTAATGGAAACCATTCCATACCTCTCTCACATGCTTAGCCCTACAAACGGATACGCAGAGGCGCCCATATCCCACTGTGGCCTCCATTCCTTCCATTCCGCTCCACTTTCCAGTGCACCCAAAAGCCGACATGTCCAGTCCTCTCCCAAACAAAGACTCCGACACCCCCGTACATGCAACACCTCACTCTGTCCCGTAAACAAATCCGCAAAGCAAAAATGCGTAATCTCCGTCGCCGTCACCCCTTGCCCTTGACATGCACGCTTCCGGCTCAAGTCTTGCTGCTCAAGCGCAACGCGCTTCATCCACTCAACCCACCCATTCCCTTCCCGCTTCCCCAGCATAACATGCCTCAAGCAAAGCTCCTTGAGTGTCTTTCCCAGGCTCTTGCCCAGAAACATGTCTAGCCACTCTACCCGCTCAATCTTCATAACCGAAAGCTTGCATACGACCAATTTGTCAAAGCAACAGTGCTTTGCTATTTCTTCAAAAACATCCTGCTCCAAGTTACTGTAGCAGCTCAGTTCCAGCTCAGTTAGGTTAGTCATTTTAGATAGGAAGCGCACGATGAAGGGTGCGCGGGGGGGAACCAAAGAAGAGGAAGAAGAAGAAGAAGAAGAAGAAGAAGAAGAAGAAGAAGAAGAAGAAGAAGAAGAAGAAGAAGAATATGAGAATGGGAGTTGAAACCCGGATTCTTGTTCGCGCCAATCGCGCAGGTTGAGCGCGAGATGCGTGAGCGAGCTGAATGCCTTGTCGAAGGAGGAAAGGAGAGGGGCGAGACTTTCCAGGCGACCGATGCTGATGGCACCGTGGTGCAAGGGTTTGTGCAGTGCGATGGTGGAGAGCTGGATGTGAGGGGATGCGGCGAGGGCGGCGAGGGTGGAGACGAAAGGGCGGGAGGTCTCGCATTGGCTTAGTGCACAGTATGTTCTGCCCCCTTTAACGAGGGAGGCGGGAAGGCCGGTGTAGAGGAAAGTAATGGTGGTTAGGTTCCCCTGGGACATGTTTGCGAAAGCTTGTTTGAGGGTCTTCTGGTCGTACCGGGTTTCGTTGAAGAAGGAGGTGTTTTGTGCGGCTTTTTCTGCGGCTTGCGCCCAGGCGTCTTGGAGTCTGCATTGCTCGGTGGATGCGGCAATTCTTGAGGAGGAGGGGGAGGAGCTGGGGAAGGGGGTTATGTCGGTTGTTTGTTTGGAGAGTGACCAGAGGAGGATGGAGTGTCGAGGGGTTGCGTCGATGATAAGATGGCGGAGGGCATTGCCATATTGTGGATGTAGCGAGATTTGCACAAAAGTGTCGAGACTTTGTTTGGTCCAGGTTAGGGTGCGTTGCTGGAAGAAGCGGTCTTTGAAGATGTGGGATGATGCTTTTGTTAGGGAGGTTGTGGTTAGGCGGAGTGAACGCGTGCTGGGGAGGTCGAGATACGAAGCAATGTGTTCGATGAGCTCGTTGGGAAGAGATGTCAATGTCATTCTGTTTTGTATTAGAAGAAATATTGAGGTGATTGAGGGGACATTTGTTAAAGAAATTGATTAAGTAAATAGTAGACGTCAATGGACTGGTTATAGTCCAACTTAGGTAACAAGAGCGGGGAACTCGTGGGACACGATGGAGCTAGCTGGTTCGGGTAACATACTTGCATATTTACTAACCGGGAATACTGTTTTGGTTTCATGATGGAGGCCATTAAAATTCATGCATTCTGTTTGTGGTATGTAAAGATGATGTTCCGGCTTACTGGTGAATAGTCCAGGCGGGCTTTTTGAGGACAATGGTATCTACAAGACAGACAACGCCGAGATCCTTGATCGAATGCAATGCAAAATATCCTGGAAAAAATCACTCTGCCATCTAGTCGCTATCACTATCGCTGGACGAGTCACTGCTGCTGCTATCGCTCCCACTATCAATGTCGTCACTGGAGCTAGCGGCATCCTTTGCAGAACCGGAATCTGAGTCTGAGTCTGAGTCTGAATCTGAATCTGAACTCGAACTGTCATCGCTACTGTCCGAACTGCTCTCGTCACTTGAGATTTCGGTTCTCCGCTTGCGTTTTCGCCCGTTTGGTTTCGGTGGCTCGGGCTTGACTTGCTGCATCAGCGGATTTATAATGGGCTTTGGTGGTGCCATAACTGGTGCAGTGCGTCCTAAAGCGTTCAGAAGCGCCTCAGCTCGGCGTCGCTGGAGTCTTCTAATAAAACCGGGGCTATACGGATGTTCTGCAAAGGCGGCTAGATCACCATCAGTCTTCCTTCTCTTTCTTTCCTTGGCGATGCGTTCCTGCTCTGCCTCCTCCTGAGCTACTTTGCGGGCCTCTTCATCGTCCATTTTTGCGTCTTGCTTGTCAAGGTCGTCCAGTGTCGCGTGGCAGCGCTCACGCAGGCGGTCAATAACACCTGCTCCTTGAAGGCCAGCAATATATGTCGCCAGTGCTTCAGAATGTTCCATCGGGATCCGGAAAATGTTCAAAGCATTGTCAACAACATCATTCTGCTTGGCCTTGTTGAACTTCCAGTTGCTTCGGTCATTGTAGTATTGGGTGAGATAAGCAATGTAGACGGATGGATCCTTTTTCTTACCCTTTGCCGTGGGCGCAGTTTGTGAGGTGGCTTGTTCGGCGTTAGGCTTTGACTTTTCCAGCTTTGTCTCGTCCTGTTCGGGGGTGGTTTTCTCAGCCTTTGCGGGCTGAGGTGATGGCTTTTTTGCTAGTCTAGTCTGCTCGCTTTCCTGCTTCTTCTCGAGCTGTCCGTTCTTCCTTGCCGTCTTCTCTTCGTCGGCAATCAATGCATGCAGGACAAAATTCGAGACCTCTGGTGGCTGAGACACCTCTCCAGTGCCTTTCTGTGACGCGACCCAGGCTTTGAAGTAATCCTGTCCGGTATTGCCGTCGGACTTTTTAGTGTCTGGGGTAAAGGCAACAGATTTCCGCGGTGAGGCTGAGGGGTCTTTGCGGCTTTGCTTTACCAGAGGTTTTTGTGGAGTCGCAACTTGGTCTGCACTATTTGTCTCAGTGGACGCAAGTAAAGTTGGGCGCTCTGTTGCAGTCGCAGGTGATGCACGGCTGGGCTGGGAGTGCGGCTGGAAGCCAGCATGCTGAGCGTCTTTAGTTGCTTTTGGGCGTTTAGCTGGCTTTTCCTTCTTCTTCCGATAGTTGGAATCTCCCTTGGTAGGTTTTGCCGTCTCTGGGGCTTTCTCCAGGACAGTCTCAGGAGGTTCAATGGACGTATTTTGGTTGATTTGGATGTCGGCAATAGCGATCCGGCTCTTTTTGGCCTCTTGATGATGGGGTTCATCTTGGTGTTTCCGCTTGCCAAGCTTGGCCGCCTGACCGCTTCCATCCAGCTCAATGCCTAAGGCAGATTGCTGTGGAGCATTGGAAGGAGTTTGATTTTCAGACACGGCGACTCCGGCCTGCTCTTGGTTCTTGAGGGCGAGACCCAGTCTCCGCCAGGCGGGAATTCTGCCCGCGTCTTGGGCCATGATCGAAAGAGGAATATGGCTATGTGCGACTGAAGATGCAGAAGTTAGAGGGCATCGCGCATGACCGAATCAGCTGGAATAAGGCGTTCGTCAGCATACAAAGGTCGAATGAGAAGTCGCAGGCAGAGAATTTCGGGGCTGATGCTAGGGATGCACGGACCAGGTGACGGCGATCCCAGAAGCTCCAGGCCACAAGCAACGCGTAGGTGAAGCAGCGATAGCCAACACCAGCAACCTCTGGCCTACATCCAGACCCGCGCCTTTTTTCAATACACCGCATATTTCCGGTACCTGTTGCGGGAGCTGAAGCTGAAGACAAGCACTACAAATATAGACCAAATCCACCACCCACCACCGCCTTCATCATGTCTGGTCCGTAGCAAGCTGCCCACCAAGCTACATAGATGCTGACAGCGGTGGCCACCATGTAGGAAGCGCAGGCTACGACCGACACATTACCATCTTCTCGGACCAGGGTCGTCTCTACCAAGTCGGTATGCAGTCCATTGCCTGTCCATAGACACAGCTAGGGTGGTCACCATTGCCAACTGGCTGGCTGCCCGCTGCTGTGTCCTCGTCGACAACCAGATGCTGACCCCGCAACACCAGAATATGCATTCAAGGCCATCACCGCTGCCAACATCACATCGCTAGGTGTGCGAGGAAAAGACTGTGCGGTAGTCATCTCGCAGAAGAAGGTGCCTGTATGTGTGGCGCATGCGAGGAGGGGCCGGCACCGTGTGTACTGACATATCTCCAGGACAAGCTGATTGACCCCAGCTCGGTCTCGCACATCTTTCGGTTGTCGCCCTCGGTTGGCTGCGTCATGACTGGATCCATTGCCGATGCGAGAGCGTCAGTGAGCAGAGCGCGGGGTGAGGCTGCTGAGTTCCGCTACAAGTACGGCTACGAGATGCCCTGTGATGTCCTGGCAAAGAGGATAGCCAACATCAGCCAAGTCTACACTCAAAGGGTACTGCATGACATTACGTACAAACATGGGCCAATCAATTACTGACAGAAGGGCAGGCTTACATGCGACCGCTAGGCGTGGCCACTACGCTCATCTCGCTCGACTCTGAATACGGACCCCAACTATACAAGTGCGATCCTGCAGGCTACTATGTCGGTTACAAGGCAACAGCGTCTGGCCCCAAAACGCAAGAGGCGCTAAACTTTCTCGAGAAGAAGCTGAAGAACAAGGAGCATGCCGACGGCAACTGGGAAGAGGTGGTCGAGCTTGCCATTACCGCACTGAGCACTGTCTTGTCTGTTGACTTCAAAAAGGGAGAGTTGGAGATTGGCATTGTAGGAGGACCCAAGGCGGATGGCGCGGAGGGTACAGATCCCGCCTTCAGGGCGCTCACCGAGGACGAGATCGACGAGCGACTTCAGTCAATTGCAGACAAGGACTAGGAAACAGCAAACATGGGGCTGCAAGGAGGGTGTGGGGCGCTCAGGTACGGCCACACAATCTAAAGCATTACGATATTCACAGGTAGCATGACACGACCTCTTACACGCCAGAAGTGCTCGAGCAGCACGATGAATAAAGACGTTAGACTGTACTCTCCTGCCTAAATGAACCGTGAGCGAGTCACCAACGCCGGACATGATGAAAAAAAAGAAGTGCGCGAGCTCAGCCATGAGGCTGCTTGGCTGGTATGCCCATTCGCCCATGGCCCCAGATTCCCATAACCTCTCAGCTGCCAACGGCTGGCCCTCAACTCGTGAGCAGCATCCTCGACGTCATCTGACTGGCTCACAGCATTCGGAGCGTCCAGCACAGCCGTCGCGTGGCTGACACCGCCTTTGCGGCTTGCAGCCGTGGCTTTGGCGAGCGTTGTGCGTCCCTACGCACTGGTGCTCCATTTCCGGACATGCCTTTCAGGTTCACACTCAGCGGACCAGCACGCGATGAACGCACCGCTAATCACACCAGAGCCAATCGCCGCCTTCGCTGGGACTAGGATACACAGCCTGGCATCGCTGCCTTACCCGATTCAGGCCCCTAGAGCTGGCCCGCTAAACCCAATTCTCCGTGTGGCGCACCTCACGCTGCTGAAGTCAGTCAACACTACGCTGTCAACTCCAGCTGGGATGCCGCGGTAGCGGAGCACCGAAAAAACCAACTCGCTATGATGCAGACGCACGGTTCCTGCATGCTGCGTTTCCCCATTGTAGCACCGATGGATACTCATGGCGATGCTAGTATGCCCTCTTCCTCTTCCTCCAAGCCTCGACATACTCTATGCCGGCCGCTGAATGGTGCGAGCGGAGACGAACCTAGTACAGCTGGAAGCGACTCACGCTCTCAAAGTGGAGCTCGGCACCATGTAGCGGCGGGAGTAGCCCTGCAGGGAGGCTTCTATTCTCTACCCAAGCTATCAGAACCTCGCCCATGGCCCTACTACCTTCACCGTAGCAGGAGTGTGCATCTGAGGACATATGACTATTTAACACTCCTTACGCCGCGCCTCATTCTTTCATACAAGCCAACAAGCCTCGATTCATTCTTCGATACACTACAATTCACTCCTTTCTACACATTCGTCGCCAGCCGACCTTTACTTTGGAAACCTAATATTCATCATGTCTGACGGTCGTAAGGCATCCCTCAACTCTCTTGAAGCCCATCACTGCGTCTTTGAGGATGAATCTATCAGGACCTCCTTGCTAACATTTCAAAGTCAACGATGCCCGCGCAATGCGCGTAGCGGAGATAATGACTGATTTCCGCAACCTCCAACACTACCTTGTCCAACTACGTGCCACACCAACAGCCGAGGAGTACTATCTAGATGGCTACTCCCTTCTCCGACAGTGTACGAGCGAGGCTCAGGCTATCCTCCAGACGCCATTCGCCAGCAGCACTCCCTCGGGAACGGGTGACCTCGAATATGAGAAGCGGCAATTGAGGGCGTGAGTGATTGTTTTGAGAGGCCTCCTGGTAGCATGCTAACATGGAATTCACAGCATTATCGTAGATGCAGCTGTACGCCGCTTCCAATGCCAGCGTGCCTACCTTCGAGCCAACGCTGGTCTCCGCTGGATGAACAGCCGCCAGAGCATCTTGCGCGGCCAGAAACCTAATGCTAGTCATATGGCAGCACTGCAGCAAGCCGATGCTACATTGAGCAATGTACGTGAAATATTTCCCCTGTCCACCTCGCCTCGGGGAGCCGAAGGCCTTCCCTGAAGGATGAAAGCGCTTCAGAAAACTTGGAAGACTAGAAGATCATTATCCGGACTTGAAACATGGGCTGACAAGCGAGCAATAGGAACTCATGGCCATGACAGACGCATACATTGACAATACCCTCCGTGCCGCAGATGCAGCGCAGGGAAAATGGCTCAACGAAGATCCCTCGCTTGCACAAATTCAGCAGATCATTCTGTCTCGACGATAAGCGATACCCTGTAACGATAATGTCTCTCGACTTTGGATACCCCCATTATACTCCCCGGATACACGCCGCCTACTCTGGCGCCATTCATGACTCTGCGCTACGATATCATGCTGCATAACGGTCGCCTCGGCATCGGACGAATCCGCTCTCTCCTATTGGCTCCACCCATCATGTTTCCAGACATCCCTTTCCTTTGGGATTTCTGCCAGTTTTTTTAAAAAAAAACTGGCAACCACCCTTTCTCACTCGACAACAGTGCTGGTCACGCCCTTATTTTTTTCTTCCCTCCCACAGGCACAAAACGTTATACATGTCAGTTTTTCTTGGCCATGGTCGGTCTTAGCGCTGGCGTTGGCGTTGGCGTTCAGCTAGTCCAATCCTTCGGGACATGTCATTTCTCACTGGAAGGTGCAAGCGGTCGGTACCATGTATCCGCTGATGAGGATATGCTGGAGAGCGAGTAACAAGTGAAGCTTGTGAAGTTTACATCACTTGATTCCTCGGCTCGATTGTTTTGTATTACCAGCACTCCGGATTTATTTCTTCTCTCCTTTTTGTCCCTGTACTGTTTTCTTTCCTTTATTTCTCAATTTATATTTCATTTCTCTTCCTGTCCATATACTCATGTATTGAATATATCAAACAGTTAATTACCATCTCAAACATTCACTTGTCCACCGTTACGAACGCTCGTGCTGAAGAAAAACCCCATAAAAAAAGCCCGAAAAGCATCTAGAAGCTATAGATGCCGAACATTTACGTGGTACGCCGCAGTCCCAGAACTACACGGGAACTTTTTCTTGTTTCCAGCCTTAACTAGCGCGGCTAGGGCTACTAGTCTTGAGCTTCGCAAAGCACTACGCACCGTAAAACATGATTCAGGTTCAGCTCGACAGGCGCCGCATGACACGCAGCGGCCGAGCATGATCGGACCATTATCGGATACCGCCGTTGTGGAACCGAGCGGTCATGGTCGTTTAAGCGTGTGCTCTTCCACTCCTCCCCCACCACTGCTCCACATTTGGTGAAACTGCTGCCTTGAAACTATGCGACAATAAGCCACAGAAAGCGAAATAAGTCTACTGGATCACAGAGAGCAAACGTGACGCATGTCGTTGGCCGAGATGGTGCGAAATGACGATATTTCAGCTCATGTCGCCTGAAATCGCAGGGCTGAACTTTTCATCCTTGCGGATCGAGAAGGGAGACACACTTTGCAAAGTCTGGTCCTCCATCCTTCGTCTTTCTCATCTCCCCCCAGAACCAAACATCTACCACAAACCGCCTGACCACTAACCTCCGCAAAAAAGGAAAGCCATAGAGGCGCGGAAATCATATCTACCGAACAGAACCCCTCTCAGAATAGTAAACAACCAAAAAAATAACGATAAGACAAGAGTGATGTACAAAGTAAGAAGAAAGTATACGAGAAACGACTTCTTTCGGATCACCATACCTCCTAACCAACCACAGCCAAACCATGCACTTTCACAACGTCCTCCGCATTTACTTTCCTTTTTTTTGCCATCTTCCCAGAATATCTTCCAACAGAAACTCTAGAAGAGGTTTTTTTCTGCCTTGCCTTGCCTTGCCTTGCCCGCCCATCGCCCATCGCCCATTGCCCAACCTCATCACCCCGGATCCCGTCCCGTCCCAAGCATATAGTACAACGGCATGCCCCGCTCACTCGCCTAGCCACGTGACATTCCTCATTCTCCCAAATCTCCCTCGCCTCGAGGTGTGTGTGTGTGTGTACCCTGCAAACCTACACACACGCACACAGACTACATTCGTGTAACATTATCCTTTCCGTGGCGCTTTTTTCATTATTATTATCATTATCATTGTTATTATTATTATCTTTTCGCTTATGCGTATTGCGTATATGCGCCCGTCTGTGTGTTTCTGTATGTGCGTGTCTGTGTGTGTGTGCATGTCTGTATGTGTGCATGTATGTGTAAGTACACGTGTGGTGTGTGTGTGTGTGTGCGGTGTCCCGCGTGGGGCTTAGATGGGAAGGATTGCGAGAGAGGCGCAGGAAGCTAGTTCGCTTTAGACGAGAACCCGTGCATGTGCGCTGCATGTCGAGCTACATGCATATTCGGGGATCCCGAGAGCCGCAGGGCTGGGGAATCTTAGCGGGGGATTTTCTGGGATTTGTTGTCGAGGATACTGGTCTGCTGGGGGAGGCTGTGTGATTTTGTTTTCTTTGGGGTGTGTGCGTGATGGATGCGTGGGAGATTTATTTTTAGGTTATGTATGTATTTGCTATCGATATTTAATGGTATTATCGTAGAGTTGAATATGATCAGGTGGGTTTTCCTTATCGCCTTGGCTGCTACGTACGTATCGCCATACGCGTACTCTGAGATCCTACCTACTACTATCCAATTCCTCTAGTTGCCTTCGCATCAAGTCTTCCAACTCAAGCCTTTGTCTCGTTACTAGTGCAAGCGTGTTCTCTGCCCTCGTCTCGCGCTCTTGAAGCGCTTCCTGCCACCTTAGCAAGTTTGCATACCGGATATCTAGAAGCCGCTCTCGTTCGTCTAGGTACTGAGCGCGAGCTTCGGGAGTACGGAATGAATGATAGATACGAGTATGAGGTTGTGGAAGAACGCTGTCGGACCTAATCACTCCGAAATCTGCGCCGGGATGCCGAGCACGAGTCTGTGGATGCGGAGAAGCAGGTGTCACGGCGGATGAAATGGTATTTTGTTGTTGACCTTCGCCAGGCGTGGCGCGATGCTGCCCGTCTCGAGCACTGGGCTCATCCCGTGCACGCGCTATTCCCCGCATAACATGGCCGGTGAAGCGGTCGCCCCTAGTCGCGACTTCGGGTGCAGTCCCGTTCACGGGGGTTCGGAAAGCATTCAATGCGCGTGCGTTCATGAAGCGGTTGAGCGCGTTCGCTCCTGGTGTATTGGCGGACATGGCTCCTCTCCTTCTTCTAGGCTCTACTCTGTTGGTCTCACCACCGTCAGACTGGTTCTCCTCGTGACCGTACCGCAATCGATCTTGGCGTCTGTTTCGGTTGGTCCGATCCGCTCCATGGTTATTTGCTCGACGCCGTATATCAGCGATATCGGCCGTTAGGTCTTCGTAGATCCGGACTTGGAGTGCATAAGCAGCTTCTTCTGAGTCTGAGTCTCCATCTTCTGCTTCCTCTGACGAGTCAATGAGGATAGATTGATCTTGGTGCTCCCACAGTGATGATGGATGTATGTCGGTTCGTAGCTCATCTCGATTGTGGCCTGTCATATGGTGCGCCATGTATTCGGGTGGAATTCGATTGCGTGAACTGGAAGCATCTCTGCCCATACCCAGGAGCATGTTTGTCATCGCTCTTATCCTAGCAAGACTTTGATTGTGTGCAGTGATATCGGGGGCAGAGCTGGATATCCAGACCGTGCGACACAACGGGCATTTCTTCTCGTCTTCGGGATGGTGATCGAGCATTTTTTGCAAACACATGTCACCAATGCGGTGGTTGCATCCTGTGATTCCTGTAATTTGGAGACAGACTTCAGTGGTATAGCTGTCCAGGCAAATGGGGCAGTCATCCGTGTTGGAATGTGAGGTGGATGGTCTAGTGTGATTGGCTACAAATCCAACAGCAGTTGTTGAGTGTATGGGCAATGCTGGTGCTGTGACTGCCATGGGCGATGGAGGACGTGCGGGTCCGTTATGTGCCGGGTCCAGCGCAGCGGGTTGTATGCAAGCATTATCCGGAGTGTTTGTTTGAATGTGCACTGGTGATGGAGTACGACTAAAGGGTTCAGAACGGATATTTGGACACGCCATGCTGAAAACCTCGGGTATCGCGCGGTTGTATACTCAGGCCGATATGTGGTTGAGGTGGGGAATTAAGGAGGTGGGATATCCGGCTTGACTGCGGCACCATTTAAGTGTCGCGGCGAATGGTAGTGAAAACCTCGAATATACAGGGGTTTTGGTAGGGGTTGTTATGACTCGTGTTTGCGTCGCTGTTATGAAAGTGAGACTGACGGGATTTAGGATAAGTGAGTGAAAGAGACCTGACAAAGTGTTGCCTAATGAAAGGTGAAGACAAGATACACTAGTAACATGTAAGCAGCGGGTGTATTGGCTTTGTAGTGAAACTTTAGTAATTGCTGGTTGTTGCGTCTACGCTCAATTTATACTCGAAAATTGATAATCGGTGACGAATGAAGACGTTGGATTAGCGATGTTGGACATATTACGCTAATTGGCCAGTGTCCGAAGAAATGAGGAACAGTGAGTGTATATCCGTAGACCACTAGATAGTACTTAAGAGACGTAGATGAATCATAGTGAACGACACTTACGCAATAGCCAAGTGATGTAGACTTGCTAGATGTCAGTGTCTCGACCAGGCACAACGACTTATGAGCTCATGAACAATCTACCTATACAAAACGCAACTCTGTGTTAAACTCATAAGTGTCGAATGGAGGCCAATCGGTCTGTTGACATGAAACAGTCGATCCGACCCCGAGTTTAGTCAAGATGACATGTGGCGTCGCTTGTGGCGGTGCTTCGCCGGGTATTTGCTTTCCGCAACTTTATATCGATGACCACCATCATCGCGGACATAGTTGTGCAGAAAAATCATATAGCTGTTTGCTCGTAAAACCCTTGTTGGGAACATGTTGCATTTATCTTACCTGCTAATCCGGATCAGGGTCACTGGAGATCGCATGCACTACTTATCGAACTATGTGTGAACAGGCCGCAGTTTCCAAGTCTGGCCCAAAAAGGCTGAGTTTGACCATCAGTCAATCGACCTGTAAGAGCTGAGGCACCCATTGTTCGAAGATCTAAACTATGGTGTAGGGACGATGTGATCAGATATGCATCAATGATAGTTGTCCGCTTGCTTATTCGTGGAAATTTCGGGGAACCTCGATATTGTTCCGTCTTTGCCCAAGCATTTGGCACATTTTCTCCGAAACCTGGGGTACTCGAAGCTAATGCAATGAGCTGTACGCAAGTCACGATGCACCCTAAAATGCACCCCATAGTGCTAGTCACCCTTCTGTCCACCACTGAGACAGCCGCCACGTGGTATGAGGGGGCGCCAAAAGGTGGGGTTGAGATCGACACGAATGAGTCGGTGGCATTGTGCAGATACATTGATTGTATTATCTCCTCCGCGGACCAATCTCATTGCTCAAGACTGTAGGATTGATATCGCTTAGTGAAGAAAGTCATGTGACGTGATTAGGGATTGCTCATGCCATTCCATAAAGGAGAAGCCACATGCGATTTGTATATCTCATAATGAAGTTTTGGAAAAGAATATGATGTTTTGGTCATATGGTGCGAGATTCTCCATCATATTAGTTGTACTCCTACAAAGTGCTATCACGCCTATAATATTGACTACTACATGCGTGTATGAATTCTGTATCATGATTATCCCTACAGGCCTTGATTTACAGAGCCGAGAGATACCTAATATACCCACATGCGAATATGTCAAAGCAGTGCTAGCCAATAGCTGGTTTTGGCGCAAGTGGATCAGATATTCGCGCAAGCCCGATCTGCGTATTCCAGAACTCTTCGCTTAAGAAAAAACGACTGAGTTGAGTTGAGTTATGAACTTTAGCCAATCATTTTTGTGTGCAGCACAGTTAGTAATTACGATAGTCGTCCGTGTTTGCAAAGGTACAATATGTACCGTTTCGGAACCCGCCAACCTTTTCTCTTGCTTTGACGATGTCCAAGACGTCTGTAGTATTGTAGCATCCTTCAACCTCCTCTTGTAGAAACCTACTTGAATTATATGCATGAATATGCAAAGCGGTAAAACGGCGGTTGGCGGATTAAATTGTCCGAAGATAGGGTGTTGGAATGTTCACAGCATTCAGCCTTGCGTTTGTGTTCTGTGGTGTGCATGTCTTGGAATGCAACCCCTAAGATCAGTCGTTCTCTTGGCAGCACTGTAGCGTCGGGCGGAGAATCCACTGCCAAGCGAGTACGGTAACCATGTGGAGTTCCGCGAATGAGCTATGGGGAAACAAAGGGCGGGGCTCCTGATCTGGTAAGATGGATAGACTAGAGGTCTTGAGGAGGCCTCAACAGTAGGTCTGGCGAAGATGAGGTAGGAAGGTGGCAGAGCGATGTTCAACTACTTGGGAATGCGAATCAAGACCTACCGGTTAAGGCTTTCAGTCCTTAGCATAGCCAGTTTACTTTTAAAGCCTTCATGACACCCTCCGTTAACAACGGGTTCATTCAATTTCTGGATTAACAAGCTGACCATATCTCGACCTCATTTTTAACATGGAATTTGCCCGACTCGTCGTTGCCGTTACGGCCCTCCTTCCTACTGCTTTCGCCTGCAATGGATACACTGGAGGTGTACCTGCCGCTGTCGGCACCAAGACCAACAGCAAGGTCATCGAGATCGCGGCTGGCCAGACCTTTGACGGGCAATGGTATAGATATGATCGCGGTAGCGGTGCCTGCTCTGGTCAGACAGAGGGAGGTGCTTCAGACGCTGTATTCTTGCTGAAGGAGGGCGCGACTCTCCGCAACGTAATCATTGGCAAGAACCAGGTGAGTCTCGTGTGAGAGGAACAGCAGAGAGGATAATAATTAATTTGTTTTAGGCTGAGGGTGTCCATTGCCAGGGCCATTGCCGTCTCGAGTATGTCTGGTTTGAGGACGTCTGTGAGGACGCCATCTCAATCAAGTCGGACAAGCCAGGCAAAGAATCTTGGATTATCGGTGGCGGTGCCTACCACGCCTCAGACAAGGTTGTCCAGCACAACGGATGTGGTACCGTTAACATCATTAACTTTTACGTCAACGACTACGGCAAGCTTTACCGCTCTTGCGGAAACGTAAGTCTTTTCGATCTATTGAAAAGCCTAACAGAGCTACGACTGATTAGTATAATAGTGCTCCACGCAATGCAAGCGTAACGTTTACATCGAGGGTGTTACTGCTGTCAAAGGAAATGAGTTGGCCGGTATCAACAGCAACTACGGCGACACTGCTACTCTAAGAAACGTCTGCTCTGACGCAAAGGTCAAGTGCCAGATGTATACTGGTTGTGCTGGTGGTTGCGAGCCCCAGAAGGCTGGTGTTTGCTCTGGCTAAGCTTACTCTGATGTTGAAGCCATGGTATGACCCTGCAGCCAGCTGCAATGCATAACGTACTTCGAAAACCATAGTAGAGTCTAGTTCTTGTGACTATTTCTTGCTTTTGTAACTTGTATCCTCTTCTTCAGTAAATATTTAACTACCCTTTGCTTCACTGAAGCACACACTGTTGATACAAGACGCATTACCCGTTTCTCACAGTATCGCTCTGGTTACTGATATCCGCGTTCACGATATTTAATGTCAATCTAATGGGTTGGTTATGCCAGTAGGTTTCTCGCAATATGAATAGCTATTGAAGAAGGATAGTGGAAAGTAGGGAGAGTCTTACCTGCTGGAGAGGGTTGCCTTCGTCTTACAATTTGGTATGTTAGCTTCACTAGTTTCTTAGATGCTCGTCTTTCACAAAATCCAAGGAACTGACCAGAAATCATGTAGACGAGTCCTGCAGAAACTCGTCAGGGAATGATATTAACTACTAGTAATTCTAATAAACATCCAAGGAATGTAAATATTCGGAACAAAAGACAAAAAACACCAAAGCGCTATGCAAAACAAATGCTGCTCAAAAGGAATGTCCTCGAAGATCATCACCAGCCTCTATCTCTATGCTCCATCACAGAACCATTCATTTACAAGAAGCACTCGATAGTGAAAGCAGTAACATCTGTCTCAACAGCCTTTTGGACGTTGCCATCGAGATCGACAAAAGTGTTCCAGGAGTTGAGGACCACTCCATAGGCTGGGGCGGCAGGGTTGATGATGACGCAGTGCACGTTGTTGCCGCCTGCACCGGGGCTCACGGCCTGGAGCGAGGTAGCAAGGACCTTGGGGCCAAAAGCGGCACCGAAGAGTTGACCGAATGTGCGGGCTCCGCCGTTGACGGGGACATCAGCGTTGGCGTTCTTGCCAGAGAGGTCGTTGGCGAGTTGAACGGTGAAATTGATGGGAGCGGAGCGAGCGGTCGCTGGGGCGGCGAGAGCGCCGGCGAAGAAGAGAGCAGCGGAAGAGATGATCATGGAGGCCTTCATTTTGATGGTTGGAAGTGGCGTTTGATGAAAAGTTGAAGAGAGAGGATTGGGAGATTGGAAATGGAAGATGGTAAGAAAGTTGTTCTTGTTGTAGAAGCTGGGTTGGAATGTGTTGTGATGATTCTCTGTTCAACGCAGAAGCTGTCTCTCTTATACTTCTTTCTGTTCATGCAGCCTCGGTGTGACATCTTGGAAATCCATCGATGGCTTTGCCTTAGCAATGCCTCAATGTTACACCGCAAGAATAGCAGTCAGCAGAGTTGGTAGTCTACCCACAGCTGCGCTCAGCTCAGCTCACCTTTTTTTCTTTCTCTCGTGTCAGTCACCTTCTTAGTGCGCCATCATTCTTGTAACGTTTCACTTTTGGTGGAGGCTGTATACCGTATTACTCTGAAGGGCGTATGGGAAGCGGTCAAGCAGACCGCTTTCTGAATGGCTAGCCTTGCCATATAGCTGATGCTTGCAACATCATCTTTGCCAGCGCATCTGGTATAGTATCAAGTTATTGCCAAAATGGGCTAGTGTCTGCTCATATTTCCAATCCTCATTCACTGCTGCATTGCGGTCAGCTGACTCTCCATTGGTCAAGTAAGCGAGGAACGATCGCTATATTTATTCTCGAGCTGATGTTCTTTGCATGTGGCGTCCATCTTCGATTGGTGGCCTGTTCTGGGCATCGTGAGATCCTAGCGAAAGGTGGGGAAGTGCCATGGAGGCTGAGCCATCAGCTGCGCCTCCTCCGTAGGATCCGATGTTATTTGGTATGTTTGGTACACTTCAGAAGCCACAATGGTGAGCCCATGCTCGTGTGATATTTTTTTAACGTAAATGTCTTGCTACAGCTACTATCACGGGATGTGATTTGGTTTACTTGAGCAGAAAGCAGTCACGCACATCACGAACAGCATGACATGTACTCACGCCTTGTTCATGCCACACACTGCAAATATGAGCGGCAAAGGATTGACCATTGAACGAAAAAACCAGCTACTTTGTTCAAAATAAACCTCTCTTGTTATTAACCGATAACTACGCCTGACAATGTCTCGAGGTTTGTAGGTGCACTTCAGCGAGACTTGTGAAGACTACTTACTAGGGATACAAACTCTGAGAACCGACGAAAAAGAGTTGGTTTACTCTGCTTCTAATATTCACCGATTGTCTCTGTTTCAGTTTTTCTGATGGACTTGATGATTCTCCAACTTGAAGTTTGCCAAGTTTTCACGTGAGCTAGTAAGTGTGTCTCCTCACAGATATGTAGGCGGCAAAGCTAATTCTTGTCTTGTCAAACCACCTTTCGTCGTCAACAGTCTTCACATGAAAATAAATCAAGGATTCTCGAGTATGAATTCAACAAAGTCGACTGCCGTCTTATTGTCCATCTAAAGTATGTAGCACCAACGACCCCGCTGCCTCCCGCCCCCGCCTTGCCTGCCAACCCCGCTTCATCTGCACATGTACTCCAACTCTAACCGGACGAACATCCTGACCCTTGTAAAGCAAGTCGCACCATCACGCCATGTGGTGGCAATATGTAGTACCATCACAGCTTTCCAGAATTTAGCCCGATGCAGCGCCAAGTGGCCGCGTTACGGCCATCAGAGTTGTTATACCATGCTTGGCAGTTTCACCAGGGGCCTTAGTATACTTGTGCTTTTTGCCCGAGCAGACTCCAATCGGAGCTCGAGGTAAGGAAATGTGCATTGACTAGGGCAGTAACGACAGCAAATAGTGAAGCGGATGGCGAGAGAGCCTCGCCATATTCCGTGCACTGCAGGGAAGATGACTACATATGGAGCTGCATAGATGACCAGAATTTACTACGTAAGTATATCCGTTTCTCCGGGTTGAAGGCCAAGAATTCGGTAGTAGGGAAGGGACAGTATAGAAAGGTGATTCCATGTAGCAGCACGTCAATAGCCCTCCCCATCTCGCCATCAACCTTTGACTAGCCTATACTTCGTCAATTAAGTACCGGATGGTGCAAAACACTAACGATGAGCAGATGAGTTGGAGTAGCTTCTTCCTCCAAACCGAAAAGATCAAAGAATCTTCAGTGACACCCCTACGTAGCACTATAATGGCACAGTTTCACGCAGTCCAGGGCCCCAAGACGCACGCACAGGCATGTTACAGCTTTCGGAAATGTGTAATGTCCAAAAGTAGATGAAGACTGTAGTTTCGGATGCCGTGTATGTCGTTTGAAAAGCCGCCTTCCAATTTGAGATTAAGATCCTTTACAAATGTAACACTAGGGATACTGTAAGCGTTTCAAGGTGACTCCGAAAAGAAGATTCGAACAACATCATCGTAACAAGAAGTCCATCCAGGGCTTTCAAGATACTGAAGAAAAGAACACTGAATGTGCACACACTTCGACAAAGCAATCAAAGTATAAAAACCCCATGTATTTCACCTCAACAACAAAGTCACCTATACCCTACCCTACAACATATTTACAAAACCCCCAAACCCCCTAATCATATCACCCCAACCCATCCCTCACCAATTCCAAATACCCATCTACTGGGGCGGCGCAACAGCCGACGGCCTAGGCGGAATCGATGCTACCCAAGAAATCAGCCTACTCTATCCCCCATGCTCAACCTTTGACAAAAGAAAAAAAGAATAACTTACGAAAAGCAGGGGGCGCGCCCGTAGGTCTCGGCGGAGCCCCGCCAGTAGGGAATCCAGGAAAGCCGCCCGGCGGGAACGAAGGCACGCCGCCTGGCGGGGGGAATGAAGGTGCACCACCGCCGGGGAAGCCGCCAGTCGGGCGAGGAGGAAAGCCTGTAGGCACGGGGCCTGTAGGGCGTGGTGGGAAGCCGGTTGGGAAGGCAGGGGGAGTGCCGCCGGGGGGACCCGAAGGAGTTGGTCGGACACCTGTTGGACGGGGCGGGAGGCCGGTCGGGGGAGAAACTTGGCGCTCGATGACGGGGGCGGCGAGGGCGCTGGGTGGTGTTAGTGGATAGGATTTTTTGGGGGGAGGGGCAAGGTGGTAGGGATGTACCTGGTGGCCAGGAAGAGGATAGTTGCGAACTTCATGGTTGAGGATCGAGACAATAGTTGCAGTAGAAGCTAGATTATAGTAGAGATGGCTGGAGAAGCTTGATGGTGGTGAAGAAAAAGATGGTACTGAGATGGTGCTCTTTATATGTCTTTCATCGCGTATGCATTTTGGCAAAGGTACTCAGGAAAGTCATGTTCCTGGGTGCCAGTCGCCCAGTGTAAAGTGCTTTCACGTCGATCTGTCCAAAAGCAAGGCTGTATAGATGAAAGGCTAATATCGCAGGTGTGGTATCCAAGATGTCGTGATTGATGAGTCCATCAAGCTCAGACTTGAGTAAATTGGCCTTTTTGCCGGAATCGCTCGCCGATGTGCCTTTTTGAAAGCAAATGACGTTGTGAAAATGTTCTGTTGGGGATGCTGTACCAGGCTACTGCAATTAGGCATCAATCAATTGCAAACGGGGTCGAGGTAGGAGGCTAGATTGAGGGTCTTTGTACAACCATTATCAGAGACGAGCAATGGTGGACACGGTGGAAAAGGATTGGTAACTAAGCGTTTGCTCAAGCCCCTCGGCAATTGCCTCTTCATTGCTGTATAGCAACTAATACAGAAGGGAGAGTGCTCCTTTGCGCGGAGAATTAACATCGAGATCACTGCACCTTCAATCTAAAATTTGGGGAGGAGGTGCGCCCTAAACTATTGCGACAGGCCGGTTTAGCCTTTTTTGTTGAACCAAAAGGCGGGATAGGCCGATCGAATCTAGACGGTGGTTCTTTGCGTAGTGAGGTGATATAAGGCGTGATGTATATACATATGGTGGGTTATGAGCTCATATCAATATACAGAGATGCGTTTTGTGCATTGCTATTCACAAGGTTCAAGTGACGCCATTGCCAAGACAAAATCAACATGAAATGCACCGGGAAAAACGACGATTTCGTCTGCTGGATGAGTACCAGTCAGTTGAAGTAATGAATAAGGTCACATTGACACTGAACTGTACCAAACTGAGGTATTGTACAAAAAGGCTCCAAACACATCGTCTACCCATCACTGCACAACATGTCTCTATCATCATTCCGAACCCCACATATCGTGACGCCAAGCCATCGATCGCCATTTCCCACGATGCACGAATTCAAGCTTGTGTCGAGCGTAAATGGAGCTCTTGTTACAATAAATTTCCATTCGTCATTTCCCGCATGGGAATTGGGGTCGATTTGCACTGTGATTGGCGAGATGATAAAAAGCCGCCAACTCTGCCGGGCCGTGCCTGCATAATAGGTTAAAAATCTCCTTTCTCCGCAATGCCGGTCGGCTTTAGCATTAGCGCCCCATCCCAATGCTTGCAGGAAGTGAAACTCCAGGCTGGGGCAAAAAAGGTGGAGTGGTGGGTATCGTCTTTTCACTTCCCGCTTCTTCCAACTCCCACCTGAGAGTTGTCTAGTAGTGAGTGCTCGACAGATTGAGTAAGGCAAAGATTGGGAAAGGAAAATGACTCATGTGCCTCATGGGGGGGGGGGTGGGTTTAAAATCGGTAATATGATCCACAAGACAAGGATTGTAGTTCAGCGGGGGAAAATGTGGAGAACAGTGGTGACTTCATGAATGTCCATAGGAGATCAAGATTAAGCGTAGTTATAGCATAATTAGCATACGTTACCATACACGTACAGACCATCCAGCCACTCAAGAACCAAAGTGAATATGTACGTTTTTTATTTTCTAAACAGATTCGTACTAAGCGAAAGAATTCGTGGTCATACAAGATAGCATTCGCATCTGCGATAGCTTCATAAACGAAGGAAATTCATTGGTATAATCTAGTCTCGAGCCAGATACATCATAGTCATAACAGCCCCAATTTATCCGCCCCTACTACAAAATCCTAGCCCAAAATGACCACTGACCTAGATCCAGATTGATGGTCCAACCTCGTCATTGCAAATTGAGATTTTCGTCAAGGACATCGTATCGCGTTGACATGATGGTCCCCGAGTGGTAGTGAAGGGTGAATGCCACCTAGATGCGAGCGGGAGGAGGTGGAGGAGGAGCAGTACCATCGACTGGCGGAGGTGGAGGAGGAGCAGTGCCATCGACTGGCGGAGGTGGAGGAGGAGCACCAGCGGCAGGTGGTGGTGGAGGAGCGCCAGCAGCTGGAGGAGGTGGTGGAGGAGCACCGGCAGCT